GTGTGCTTTATTTCGGACTTACCCTCACCTTTAAGCAAGTCACTGATACTTGCATAAAATTTTAACAAGGTCTCAATCTTTCTCCTCAACTTAGCTGATATAAAAGCTTGGGGCTGCATAAATTTTCTTCGGGTGATACTTGCTTCATTTGCGTTATTGTTTGAAAGGACCTTCTGAGAACATGTGTTTTATGTCCCTTACTTCTTTGTTATATATATTTTCACGTACCGCAGCTGAGCATATTCATCCTAATTTCTAACGAAATCTCTTTGTTTGAAGGGGTTTTGTTGTTGGCGAATCGCTTTTATGTCACATTATCCTCTTCAGAGAAATTTAAGTTTTAATGAAAGATTAACGCTCTTTGCCTTTCTTTGCTTTCAGGTTTGGCGATCCACGAAAAATTATACTTTTTCATATTCAAATTATTTTTGTTATCTGTTCTGAGTATTAATCAAATTTCAATCGTAGATTTTCTGTTGTTGTTCTTTTAACTATTTATGTAATTATATATTCGAATTGGAAAAAATTAATTTTTACTGTCATTTCAACAAATTCATGGCCTATTGAAAATTCCAAATCATTTGGTGAAAAAAAATTTTCCTCAAAATTGCATTTTTGAATTTTGCCTTTTTAAGGCGAATATCATATGTTCTGAAATTTGCAATTACGGGAAAGTGAGAGGACAATAGTAGCGACGCGTTTCGCCTTTAATTGAGAGGCTCTCAAGAGATATAAAAAATGTATAACTAAAATGCAGCTAAGTTCGGCCTTACCCTCCACCCTTTTGAAGAAAATATGTCGGAAAAATTCTGTCGAAAAATACCGCTCAAAGGTAGTACCCACTATGAACTTTAAATAAGAAATTTGAAACAATTCCGAAAATACCGAATAAATGGAGATGACATTATATATGGGCTATACAGGTTGAGATGAAAAACTGCAACCAACTTCAGACTGCTGTTATTTCTAAGCCATTCGTCCGACAGCTGTTAAAATTATTCCAGTGACGGCCCATTGTATTGTTTAAAATAATACAAAAGCATTTTCGTGAGAATTTTCTAGAAAAAAAAGTGTGATATCTTTACATTTGGCTGAAGAACCACATGTGGCTATCGTTAGAGCACTCCAGCATTTAAATGTGAATAAATCCTTTGTTCCTCGTATCATCGCTCGTTACCTGGATACTGATAGCGTAGCCTGACGCCAAGGGAGTACACGGAAGAAAATAGCGACATCGGCAGAAATGGTTCGAAAAGTAAAGAAGCGACTTGATCGAAACCCGCGTCGCAGTGGCCGAAAAATGGCTCATGAGCTGAACATATCGCAATATTCCATTCGGCAAATATTGAAAAATGAGCTCAGGGTAAAGCCACTGAAATTCCAAAAAGTACAAGAACTTACATCAAAACAGAAAGAAAATAGACTTAAAAGAGCTAAAGAGTTGCGTCGCCTGGCCGAAAGTGGTGAACTTCCGAATTTGGTTTTCTCCGATGAGAAAACATTCGTTGTCCAGCAGTTTGTAAACAAACAAAATGATCGTGTTCACTGGCCAAAGAGGTCAGCTTAAAATGTGCATCATCGGTTGGCCAGTGGCCACCAGAACTCAAGTACCGGCCATGGTGATGGTATGGCCTGCCATAACAGCCAATGGTCGTTCTCCGCTAGTATTTATCGACGTGGCATCAAAATAAATGCCAAATATTATCGCGAAAATATTCTGGAGGGTGTAATAAAGCCTTGGGCACGCAAACATTTTGGCCGCAGACCATGAATATTCCAACAGGACTCAGCACGCGCCACCCAAGAATGGTTACAAAACTAGGTTCCTCACTTCATTTCCAGCGCACAATGGCCGCCAAAATTTCCGGATACCCATTCGTTGGAATACTGAGTCTGGAGTATTTTGGAAAGCAAGGTTTGCAATAAAAAATACCAAAGTGTCGATCACCTCAAGCCAGCGCTTCGCTGGGAATACCGCAGAGCAACATTCAGGCTGCGTGTGACGGTTTCATTGGCCGTTTGAAGGCCATAATTCGTGCCAAAGGTGACCAATTTTATACAAATCTAAACTTATTTTCAAATTTGATGCTATTTTCGAGATTTTTGCTGTCATTTAATAAAATTAAAAAAGAAAATAGTTTTTTTTTATCAGACATGGACCTACATAGACGATTTTCCGTCGTGGGTTGTAGTACTTATTACGAGCTTCAAATAGGAAATTTAAATCAATTTCAGTGAAACAAAACATTAAAACAATGAATATTGGGCAATACGAAGACGTGATCCTGCATAAGTATTTATTGTCATCGGCTGTAGTACCCAGCACGACTTTAAATACGAAATTTGAAACAATTTCGGTGAATAATGTCCCAAAAATCATCAAATAAGCGAACATCGGGAGTGTGGTTGTATAGCGGCTACACGATATCGTGGACACATATATAAGCAATTCTCTTTCAGGGAGGGATGGAACACCTTGTGTGGATTTTCCGACAATTTTATTGTAAAAATGTGGCTAAAATCGTCAAATTATGATATCGTGAGCCTATATAGACAATTCTCTTCCAGGGTAAAAACTTCTCAGAGAGAACTCCTTGTGATTGTACGTCAAGTGCTACTAAATTGGTATTGGGTGAAGGGATAGAGCTGAAATCCAGAAATTCGATATAGATGTCACTGCTTTTGTTTGTGGTTTAGGGAAGCAGCTTGTTTTGGATATGCGCAATATAATTGTACTAAATGGTTGTAAATTTTGTAATTGAGGAAATTAAAGAGTGGAAATCCTCAATCTTGATATTAAGGTCAATGTTGGTATCTGAGGTTGAGACTTGGAGATTGGTTTGAAGAAACATACTATAATTGATCCAAAAGTACTAAATGGTACCAATTTTCAATTACTTCTGGTATATATGCCTACTAAGTGTTTCTAATTTTGGTATTGGGTGAAGAGAAAGAGCTGAAATTCTGGAAGTTGATATCTGGTACCAAAGATTGTTTTTGTGGAGTGCATATTGCACATGTGAGGGACTTTAACACCAAATCAAATAAAATTATGTATGGGAGCCATAGCTATATCTGAACCGATTATCACCAAATTTGATGTACTTGCTTCTAGATTGAATTTAGTTAGAAGTGTTAAATTCAGGCCATTGTGATTGATATTGACCATTTTGTCCACAATAAACTCGAAATTGTATGAAGACATATATGGGAACTATATCCTTATCTGATTCGATTTCGATAAAATTTGACAGAGATATTTCTGGGCTGTATCTGATATCTGGTACCAAATATCATTCTTGTGGAGTGCATATTACACATGTGAGGGACTTTAACACCAAATCGGATTATATGTACCAAAATTCTGTCCATTTGGGCTGATATTGGCCATTTGTTGTCAAAAAAAACCTGAAATTGTGTTAAGATACATAGGGGCTATATCCAAATCTGAACCGATCTTGACAAAATTTTAAACACGTATTTCTGATCTGTATCTTATAGTTGATATCAAAGATTATTGTTGTGGAAGGGAATATTAGTCATGTGAGGTCTTAAAACCCTAAAGCGAATAAAATATATATATATGGGAGCTACAGCTATATCTGAACCGATTTTCACCAAATTTGATGCACTTCCTTATACACTGAATTGGGTCGGATATGCTAAAATTCAGGGCATTTGTGCTGATATTGGCCATTTGGTGCACAATTAACCCGAAATCGGTTGAAGTATATATGGAAGCAATATCTAATTTTTAACCGATTTTAATGAGGTTCGTCCTTGGGCCAACAAATATTGTTTGGAAAATCGGATAATAAATGCGCCTGCATTTTGCTTACAAAAATACATTGACAGACGAACGGACGGACCCACGGACTGACATTATGCATGAATTTCAGAAATTGATTCTATGAAGATCCTCAAAAGTAAATATGGGTCTATCTCGCTTCCTTCTCCATGTTACAAACAAATACACAAAAACATAATACCCTTACCACTATGTGGTGTAGGGTATAAAGAGGCATAACACGAACTAGCGGAACGAATCTTAAATTTTAAAGTGATCTTTTCACTGACGAGGTAGCTGGCACTGGCTAGTATTCTATAAAATATATGCAAAACCTTTATGTGGTTCCAGAAATTTCTTCTTAAAAAATACGCAATTTTTTCCGGCTCTTTAGAAAAATTTTCATAAAATCCTCATTTTTGTGTGTTTTGTTCATAATTTTATTTATTCTCAGCTAAGTTATATTACTCCCCTAATTATTAACACATGGTATCTTTTTTTCCTCGGACATTTTTTCATGTTATTTATTTTTTTCTTGTATTTTCTTATACTTAACAATTTGTAAACCCCTTCTCGTCTACCCTTTTTTCAATAAACAGTTTACTTAGTTTCCCTGTCATTACACCTAATGTTCAGTCTTAAGTGTTTTTCTATGTAAAAAGAAATTAAAGAAAGAATAATGTAAAAACAACAACTAACCAACAACCTATTCTGGCCAGTTCCAGTTCCGACCACAGATAAAGAATTTACGATAAGCACTTTGTTAATTTAAAACTAATCGAATGTTAATTGAGCGTTCTTTTCTGTCATAATACGAGTACGTTCGGGTTGTATTGTTACGACAACTAATCTAATGGTCATGTATGACATACTAAATGGCAACAACTGCACTGCACTACACGACACTAATACGATTTAAAGGTATAATGTACATACACATACATACAATATGCATATGTGTGATGGCTGAAGGGGGGCTGAGCGAAAAAAAACTACACTCATGTAAATCTCAATGGTTGCTATTGGATGCATGAGGGTTTCTTCAATTATACATCTATACTACCACGCATGGCCCAGGTCTACACAACTACATATGTATGCACGTATGTATGTATATGAACATTTTAAATATTTGTTTTTGTTTTTTTTTTTTTTTTTCTTCGAATATACATGAATGTCATTTAGCATGGACTTTGGAAACGGCTATACATACATTTCATACCTTGGGTAGTCGGTATTTATGCCAACTAACGCCTCTGCTGCTTCTTCGTTGCATCCTGATGAGATCTGTTCCCGATTCGCAATGGAAGGTGTTTTCATCGAGCCAGGAATTGAGAGAGTGGATGCTGGTTTGCGGAGCTGTATTGGAGAGAAAAACGAAAAATTTTTATCATTATTAGTTGAGTGCAAGTGTAGGGCAAAAAAGATGCTAAAACTAAAATGCATTGTGAGGGGTTTTTGTACTACTGGTGTTGGAACAGCTAGAAACTACTTTCGTTTGCAAGGGTTTTGTGGCAATATTGAAGTTTGAATTTTTTCAATATTTTTTTTATCGCAGGTTTTATTAAAACAGTAATTTTGTGCTTTTCTAATCGTCTAATTGATAGGTGCAACACAAAGCAGGGAATTCAAGCAGAATCTCGGGAATTTTTTAAGAAATTGTAACGATTTGGGGTATTTGACATATATTCTTTAAAAATTCATGATTCATGGGTTTAAAAATATTATATTTAAAACCAGTAAAGAAAGTCTTAAAGTCGGCCAGGGACTATATATGCCGAAGCATTTGTATCTTTTAAGTTCGGACTTGTATTGCCCATTTGGTGCACAATTAATTTGAAATCGGATAAAGATATATATGGAAGCTATATCCAAATCAGAATCGATTTTAATAAAATTTGGCAAAGATATTTCTGAGCTGTATTTGATATATTTCCCTGAATATCGTTGTTACGGAGTGCATATTATGGCTGTGGGTAACAAATATAACAAATCGGATGAACTGTATATACAGGGGAGCTATAGCTATATCTTAACCGATCTTCACCAAATTTGACATACTAGCTTCTAGACTGAATTCGGTCGTATGTGCCAAATTCCATCCCCTTTGGACAATATTAGACGTTTGGTGCACAATAAAAGGTAAATCGGACGAAGTTATATATGGGAGCTATATCCAAATCTGAACCGATCTCGATAAAATTTGGCATTCTTATTTTCAGGCCTAATTTGGTTGTATGTGCAAAATTTCATACTAGTCGGGCTGATATTACAGGTTTGGTGTAAAATAAAAAGCAAATCGGACGAAGATATATATGGGAGCTATATCTAAATTTTTACCGATTATCTCCACTTTCAATAGGGTTCGTCCTTGGGCCAAACAAATGATTTGTGCAAAATTTCATTTGGATAGGGCATTAAATGCGAACTGTACTTTGTTTACAAAAATACATGGACAGACAGACGGACGGACATGCAAACATCGACTCAGAATGTGATTCTATACAGATCATCAAAAGGAACTATACCTGTAACAAACAAATGAACTATACCTGTTACAACAACAATAATACCCTGACCACCTTGTGGTGTAGGGTATAAAAAAATATATCCACAGTTTTTGGTCTTCAAAAAATATCACTGGGCAACACATACAAATATTCCAGCAGGTTACAAAAGTAGAGCTCTCCAGCAGATTATAAACGTTGGCGCTGTTTAGGAATGAATTATTGAATATTTTGAGTTTTCGGCTATTAGCTATTATTTGGATCAGTTATTTAGGAACGAATTATTGACATATTAAAAAAGGGCCATAACTCCTTAACTATTGATTTTTCGGGGCTTTTGACTATTATTTGTGATTAGTTATTTAGAAACGAGCTATTGGAGATTTTAAAATGGCCATAACTCCTTAAATATCGAGTCTTCGGCGTTTTAAGCTATTATTTGTGATTAGTTATTTAGAAACGAATTAATGAATATTTAACCCCTCGAAAGTTTACCTCGAAATGTGACTTAAATAGAGTGGAAGGGAGTAAAATGTCCCCTCTTCCAATTTTTTTTTGTGAAATTTTCTAATTAAGATTCCTTGGCATCCATTGATTTTAGAAATATAGTGTCTTTGGCAACATTGCACACAAGGATTATATTGGCGGAAAATTCTAACCCCCATCTGTGTCGACAAAAGGGGTCTTTTTGGTAATATTTTGAAAATATTGGTAAAATCTCTCTTTTCGCGGGATTGTATCATGTACAAGTACAATCAAGTACAAAAATATTTCTCATAAGTATTTACTATATGTGTTAGAAAACGCAAGGTGGAGGGTATAAATCTCAGAATTAACTACTTTGCTTTTAATACCCTCAACCATATAACTAGAGAGGGTGTATATCATTTGATACGGCCAAAACGTGCTTCATCGAAATAACGGTTTTAGACCCTAGGTCTTTTTGGGCCAAATACGTTTTAGGACATTTGGAGTCGACCTAGCGATGTCCGTCCGCCTGTCTGCCTGCTGCGCACGATAACTCTCGGAGGGAGTATCCGACTTGGTCCAAACTTGGTATTATTATCAAACTTAGATCGAGTTCGGAGATGGACAATCGGTCCACTCCTTCTGGTACCTCCCCCCACAAAAGTTCGAAAATTTCAAAGAAAATATTTTACTGCACAGAGGGGAAAAGGATAATCCGAATACTTCGGTCTGCTATATCTGTTACCTCACGGATATTTCCACATTTTCCAACAAATTGTACATATCTCATATAAAGTATAGGAAGTAGTCTATATAGTCCAAATTTGGCACATTATCTGTCTTAGTTCCGATAGGAATTTGTCAATATTGGCCAATTGCTTCAGAACCTCCCCCATAAAGCGTCAACACTTTGAGTCATCATAACTCAAGTCTGGGGGTATACATCTGATACTATTTTACTGGTTTAATTTTTCTCCCAATTTTTTTTTTTATAAAAGAAAGTCGCGAAAAACAAATGAAACAATTGCAAGCATTAAAATTTTAACAGAATTTGAAAATGTTTAAAATTATTTTGTGTATTATTCAACACAATACATACACATACACACATTGTATACATGTTTTGAAATTATAGGACTACCAAAGGATGAAATTGCATTCAGGTGATTGCTTGTCTTGTCTTTATGGTACCATGTTAACAATTTAGAACATTGTTTACCATTTTTTTGTTGTAAAATAAATAAAATATGCATTAATTGTAGCCTGAATTCTGCAAAAAAATCTGAAATACTTGTTTCCAAATAAATTCTTAAAAAATCCTAGATTTCTTGTCTCTCTCCTTTTGGTCTATCATTGTCCGAAAAAATCTCAGAAAATTTCACTGTTTGCCTAATTTTTAGCTCAAACAAACAAGTAAAAAAGCTGTAAGTTCGTCCGGGCCGAACTTTGAATACCCTCCACCATTTGGGACAAATTTAACAATTCTCAAAAAAATAAAATCCGTTAACGATTCTGTTAAAATCTTAAAAATACCGAATGTAGTCGTATATTAGGGTCTATACGACGACGTGTACCTGCATAGGCAACTTTTGTAACAAGCTGTTACAATCTTAAAATGCGAAACTTGAAAAAATCTGTTTATTATGTAGCTAAAATCATCAAAATACCGAATATAAGGAGGTACCATGGGGGTTATAAAACGTGGACCTGCACAGACAATTTACTGTCATAGGTTGTAGTATCCATAACGAATTTCAAATGCGAAATTTGAAACAATTCTGGTAAATAATGTCGCTAAAATCATCAAAATACCGAATATCGGGTGCTACCGTTATATGGGGGCTATACGAAGAAGTGGACCTACATGGCCCATTTTAAATACAAAAAGTGCTGCAGAGATAATACACATTAAAGTAAAATTTAAATATCTATTACGAACTTTAAATATTAATTTTGAAACAATTCCGGTAAATAATGTCGCTAAAATCATCAAAATACCGCATATCGGGAGGTACCATTATATGGGGGCTATACGAAGATGTGGACCTACATGGCCCATTTTAAATACCAAAAGTGCTGCAGACATAATACACATTAAAGTAAAATTTTATCAACCTACTTCATTTCGTTCGGAAGCTAGAGTGATTTCCACAGACGTACAGGTGGATAGACGGTCAGACGGGCGGACATTGATAAATCAACATAGAATTTTATTCTGATCAAGAATATATATACTTTGTTGGGTTTAAAATGTATATTTCGAGGTGTTACAAACGGAATGACAAACTTAATATACCCTCCATACTGTGGTGGAGGGTATAAAAAAGCCATCAACCATTTAAAATTTGTGTCTATGTATTACAAAATCTTAACACATTTGTTATAAGGGATCTTTCTTTCCCTATAAGTCCTGAAAATATCCCCAATTAAAAATAATGTCTTATATACGCCGTTTCTATTAAAAGTTATCCGCATCATTTATATGAAAAAAATAGAAAATTTTAGACTTCCTCTTCTTTCATTATTAATCATTTAATTTTTTATGTTTATTCAGCGGGAAAAGAAGCTTACTTTAATGACAGAAAAGAAAAAAATAAATAAAAACATGAACAAACTTTTAGTGACATTTTTGTTGTTGTTTTTTTTTTCCATTTCAACCCGATAAAAGGTCGAACGACCACTTTTTTTTTGTATAATGACCCCCCTCATCCAAGCCATTTAGATTAATGCACTGCAAAAGCCAAATGAAATGGCTGAATACATCAGCAACTTAAACCGCACTGTACTACCACTCACTGTAGGCAATGATTGTTCGTATTTTTGTTCCGGTAGACGTCTACTAAGCCATATAAATATGGCTATTAACACTAAATGCGTCAGAATCAACTAATGGCTAGAAAAAAAAAAAAAAATAAAACAGCACACAGAGGGGTGAATGTTTAGGGCAAGAGAGTAATAGACAAGGAACAGTGTTGAAAAATTTACGGGGCTGTAAAAAATTGAAAGGACTTTGTTGATGCAGCATGGACATATTTAATGTATCAAGATTTGTGGTAATTTGGTCCCCTAAGTTACACTCCTTAAGCACCCAGAATTTGTCTTCATATGCCCTTTATCCTCATATGCTCCTCCTTACTGAAAAAAAAAACTTTTAAAATTTGAGGTACATTGGACCTTAAACAAAATCTAAAAAAAAAATGGTGATAACTAATCATTTGGTACTTAAAATCAGTAAAGAAAGGTCAAAAGTAGGACGGGCATGACTTTTTATACCATACACCACTATGCATATTTGGTGGAGCTACTCGTAACAAATGAACGTTCATATGGGGAATTTTTGTGAAGTAAGTCATACCTAATATGAACCTCTTTTGAATGCATATT